CAGAGCACGGTTTTCCAAATGACCTCTTTACAGCTCACCTTGTTTCCAGAAATGATTGAAAGGCTCCAAGCAGGAGTGGGAGAGCATAGTACTGCCCTGCCCAAAGCAGAATAGGTGTGTTCTCCAAGTCTCTGTTCTCCAAGTCCCAATAGCTGACAATGAGCACTGGGTGCCATGGGAGCACTTTGCCAATCTGTGTTAGATCCATTAATCCTCATGCTAGCCCTGTTTGATGACCCTATCATTTCCTCAGTGGAGAAACCAGCCCAGAGAGCTTATGATAACGTGGCTGAGGCCACACGAATGCTCATTTGGCCCCTTTGCAAGGGCCTCGGCTGGTGTGAGTGGATTCCACCTTAGAGAAAAAGATTGCATTGGGGAGGCTGCCTATAAAAACCCTGTGAGGCTTGAGGTGGGTGAGACGGGCCAGCGGATGGCTGAGAGAGCTGAGGCCCAGTGTCCTGGGCAGAGCCTACAGGTCAGGGAGCTTCTCTGGACACTGGAGAGGGGGAAGCCTTCCAACTCCATCCCCTAAGGGTCCTGGGATTCCAGCACCCTTGCCGACTGCATCCCATTTAAGTCTTCCCACATTTATAGGCCCAGGATTAAGTCCCCACAAGCCTGATACTTGAAAAAAAACTATCACTCTGGGCTGACCACGGTGGCCTATGCCTGTGGTCCCAACTACTCCAGAGGCTGAGTCAGGAGAATCGTTGGAGCCCGGGAGTTCAGGCTGCAGTGAGCTGCACAAAACAAAAACAAACCCACAACACTCTGCTTTCAGGATAGTGCGGGGATGCCGGAAAAGTCAAGCACAAACTAAAGGTGAGTGGCGTCTCCCGAGACACAGTGGCTGTGCCTGACAGCGGCTGCCAGCCTTTCAAACTCCCCTGAAACATTCCACCCCCTTCCCTACATGCCCCTGTCAAAAGCAAACATTTCAAACGCCTTGTCGAGCTGAGGCCATGCAAGGAAGAGGCAGGCAGGCAATGCTCCTTAAAGTTTGGGAAAACATTCCAAATATGTGGTGCAGGGAGGTGGAGGGGTGGGACCTCTGGTGGCTGTGACCCAGCCTGTCCCACTCACCTGGAACGGAGGCACTGGACCCTAGAATGGAGGCACTGGACCCTAGAACCCTGGCCATTCCTAGCCTAGTGACACCTAAAGTATAAGTCAGACAGGAGTGCACTGTCCCAGCCCCAGTCCCAGCCCCAGCACACATCCTGAGCTATGCTCAGTGTCTCCACCTTCACCTACCAACAAGTCCCCATGAGCCAACTGTGCCCAACACCACCACCCTTTCCCAGACTTGGGGAATGAGGAACAGGCAGCCATCCCAAGCCAACAGGGTGCTTTCCATGGGTAAACTGGGGACTCTGAGTGCAGCTCACAAGTCTCTCCCAGCACCAGCAGTGACCCCCGGCAGTCCTGGGGTGAAGGGGAGGAGAAGGACCCCGGAAGATTTACGAGCCAAGCGCCTGTGTTCCCAGGACCCTTCTTCATGTTCTCACTAACTTTTGACTTCATTTCTAGGCAGCAGGAGGTGGACTCCAGGAGCCCCAGCTGTATCAAAGAAGGAAAGTGTGGGCAACACACTGGTCATTTAACAGATAAAATGAGGCAGGGAGGGGAGGTGGTTTGTGCGTGCAGCAGTACGTGGTCTCCTAATTTCTAGCCCAGTGCTGAAGCAATTCCTGGATGCAAGTCACAGCAGGATTGGCATCTGCAGGGGTGGCCCACCTGATCCAGGGCAGAGGGGGCCACGTAGCCCCAGACCCAAGCCTGTTCTCAGAAAGGCCTGGGTATGGTTGGACATCACAGTCCGTTCTCCTGAAGGCTGGGAGCTTGGGGCTTAGCCTCTGAATCTGCAAGAAGCCTGATTCTATGAGGTTATTCCAGCTGCTGCCGCTCTGGGGATAGGAATGGGGATATGAGGGGCATTCAAAGGCCTGGAGGTCTCTCCGGGTGGCCCAGCTCTGTCAAACTGGACTCTAGGGAGAGGCATAGTCCACCCAGCCAAAAGCCAGCTGGGACACTGGGTTAACTCTGTGGGACACAATGTCACTGGTGGTGCTCAGGTTACTTTCATTTTTTTGGTACCATCTTTGCAATCTGCCCATCCGTATCTTCTTATTGGGTCAGGAAAGAACACGGTCATTGCACAGGCAGCATTGCACATGCAGGGGGGCTGCCAAACTGGGTTGCCAGACCTTCCCACCTTGGTGGGTGAGCCCCAGGCTGAGGTGCACCCATTGTGCCTGCAGAAGGCCAGGGCTGAGCAGAGCTCTGAGCTGCCCTCAGCACACAGGTAGGCTCCTGCTACCTACCCACATCCACCCCAGTCCCCATAGCCTCTGACTGAGGGTGTTCCAAAGCTCTCAGGCCTGATACGCCACGGGGGGACTGGCTCTCTACCACTTCTGAAGGCCTGAATAAATCCCAAAATACAACTCCCCAGTTGCCCCCAGTTCCAAGAGAATAGAAGGACGCCCCCCCCCCAACCCAAAGGGGTAGGAGGGACCTTCTGGAGCTGCCACCCCCACCCCCCAGGGACTTCTTTAGATGCCTCCCTGAAAGTGCAAAGGCCCGGCGGCGTGGCTCCCTTACCCCCACCCCAGCTCCCTCCTCTACTTCCAGTGTATGTCTCCACTTCACTAACTGGGCATCAAGGGTTCTAAATTTTAAAGTGAAGGTGGGTTTTTCTGGAACAACTCTTTGAAACAGAGTTGAAGGGGAAGGAGAAAGCCAGCTTGCTTAGGGAGCAGAGTCCAACTACACTCGCTATTCTACTTCTGGGGCAAACAGCAGGAAAAACAGGAGAAAAATGAAACCCGAATGGCAGAAGGGGGCAAGGAGCTCGGGCCACATTATTCTGCATCCAAGACAGGGTCTCCCCCACGCACCCACCTCCTGCTTCCTGCTGTTCATTCAGCCAAAGCCCACCTGGTCTGGGGCCTGCTGAAAGCCAAACACCCAGGCTCCCGGGCTCCCACACCTTCAGAAAAGGAACAAAACCGTAGCCTTTACGTCTTAACTACTCATCACCTCTGGGGCCACAGATTGAAAGAATCTGTGTTGCACATATGGGGGAAATTATTATGCTTCCAATTTCCCCTAATTTTATTTCAACGTAGCATAGAGATAAAATACTGTGCTTAAAACAACACCACCACCCCCCAGATTACGTTCAGCACCACTGCATCAAGCAAAATCACCTTTAGCAAAATCCTCATCTCCTGAAATGTTTTCACAAAGAATTTCACCCTTGGCAAAGAACAGCTCACCTGCTGGGGTGGGAATTGGTGGAGCTCTGGTCCCAAAATTCGCATGGAGAGGCCAGCAGGGGAACTGTAGGTTTCAGCCAGTGAAACAGATCACAAGGCCTTTCCCCCAGCCACATTTCACAGCCACATAGCTATGTGCTATTAAAAATGTAAAAGACGAGAGATATTAAAATTGAAAAATAATATCTCTATTAGGAAACATTGTGAAAAAGTTAATACATTTAGAACTGTGAGAGCACTGTAAATTATTTTGGAAGGATAATGGGGTTTTAATTTTTTTTCACTGCAATGAGGTTAAAGATTTAGAAATAAAATTGAGAAGTATCTGAAACTCTCTCCAATCTAAACTCTCTCCACTAAACGGAATGGACGTTAAATGCTGGGGAATCCACCACTCTCAGACCTTCACTGGCCCAGTTCAAATTTTCTGGAAAACCATTAAAGTGGGTAAGGAAGTCTGCATTTTAGCAAATTGAGGAGAAAGAGTCCTCACTTTGGGTTGCTGTTAGCAAATGGCAATGCTTTATTCTTCCTGCCTTGGTCTCCTAAATTAGGGACAGCTGGACCCTGAGATGGAGTGGCACTGTTTGTTTTGACAATTGGCATGTTTTTCTGCATTTTAACAAAATGCACTACAACAAGCTCACCAACCTTTAGGCAGCCAGGTCCAACCAGGCTGGTTTCTCGAATTGGCTCGAGGGGGAAAAAAAAAAAATCCCAGGTAGGATTTTTTAAATGAATCAGAAAGCATTTTCTGTCGCTAAACAAGACAATAGGTGACTGCTCCCATTCTCCTTTGACCATTTTTATGTATCTATACAAATAATCTCTTGTGTAACAAAAATAACCCAAACAGGTAGGCTTGCAAGCACACCTGGTTTTAAAAACTGCAAGAACACAAACACTGTCGGATTTTGGGCAGAAAAACAACATGGGTTTATTTTAAGGTAAGTACAACAATTAAAACCACATAAAACAAACACGAATGAAGTTTAAAATTTTTTTTTTCTTTAGGAATACTCAGGGTGGAATCTACTATACAAAACCATCACACTTTCTCAATAAAAAGTATCAGATATTCGACTCCTTTATCCACCAACAAAAAATAATAATAAATTATTTTCTTGTTTTGTAAAGATCTACAACTTGGGGGTAGGGGGATTATATCTTGTAATTGTACAGGAGTCAAAACCCACATGGGTTTTTCGAACTCAATTTGGCAGTTAGAAAAGGTTGGGCAGATGAAAAATTATCCAGTGAACTCAACTTTAAATATTATATTAATGGCTCTGAACAACAACAACAACAACAAAAATAGCCTGATTACAAATTCACACATTTGTACAGCACGGTTAGAGAAATTTAAAATTACACACAGCACAAACATTATCTATAGAGATCCCCATACACCTGTGGAGGTCTCTACAGAGAGTCATTAGTGGATCGCTGTGGGATTTGGTCCATAACTTAATTTTTAAAACCCCAAGTGGAGCAGAGCACAGCCATGCCGGGAGGGGAGGGGATCTTAAACTCAATATTCATTTCGTTGGACTGCGCCCCTTTAGAGGGGCTTCCTGGGATCCCAGAAACGGGGCGGCGAATAAAGTTACCTGCTCGCTCCGCAGACCGCCGAGGGCTGCCGAGGGCTGGCGCGCCCGCGCTCTCCGCTCGGGGTCTGAGAAAAAGTTGGTGGGCATGTCCATGTTCCTGTTTTCGTCTCTGCAGCCTTAACTGTCTGAGAGGGTCGGATCTGGGGAGCGAAGCCGGAGCGGGCAGGGGCAGGCGCGGGCCTGGGGCGGGTCAGTATTTCGTGCAGTCGTAGGAGTAGGGGCCTGCGTGGCGGTAGAGGGACGGCGCGGCCCTGTAGGGCAGCTGACAGCTCGTGTTGCCGCTCACCTGGGACTCCCCGAGGGGCGAGTTCTCGATTCCCAGCCTGTGGGAGTTGAACATCTCCCGGACATTGGGGAAAGTTTGCTGCTGGGACGAGAACGTGTGGCCAGGGAGGTGGTTCAGGTCCCCGCTGTGGTTGAGATACCAGGAGGCCGCCTGGGCCGCGGGCTGCGGGGCGGGCTGGGGCTGGGGAGCCGGCGGGGGCGGCGGCGCCTGCGGGTGGTGGTGGCCGTGGTGCTGGTGGTGGTGGCCCGCCGCAGCGAGCGCGCCCTCCTGGCCTGCGGCGAGGTTGAGGGCGCTCAGGGGCGACGTGGGGCCGCTCGGGTGGTCCGAGAGGGCCTCGTCCAGGGCGGGCGGGACGCACATGTGCGCTGGCCTCTCGGCCCCAGTGTACAGGCTCATGGCGCGCATGCTGCACTGGTAGCCCCCGGCGGGCCCGGCCTCCAGGCCCTGGGCGCAGGGCTGGCCGTACGAGGCGGGCGGCGCGGCGGCGTAGGGCAGCGCCAGCGGCTGCACCACCAGACCCGCGCGGCCGGCCGCCGGGCTCAGCTCGCCGCCCGGCGGCGACGTTCGCAGAGTCATGATGTTCTCCACGCTGAAGCCCGGCAGCCCGTTGGGCGCCGCGGCGTGGTGCTCGGGCAGCGAGCCGTCGGGAGAGGCGGCGGGCGTGGAGGCCGCGCTGCGCGGGCTGCCCTGCAGCGCGCTCTCGGGGCTCAGCGTCTCCACTTTGGTGATGACCGGCAACGCCGGCGACGCCGCCTCGCTCTTAATGACCACTTTCTTCTCGGCCTCCTTGGGGGCATCCGCTAGGGGGGGGCCGGCCGGGGCGCCCTTGGACGCCGACGGGGGCGGCTCCTTGAGGTGGGCCCGCTCCTCCTTCTCCTTGGGTACGTCCTTCTTTTTGAAGCGCCGGCGGCGCCGCAGGAAGCTGCCGTTCTCGAACATGTTGTAGGAGTCCGGGTCCAGGGTCCAGTAGCTGCCCTTGCCGGGCTTCTTGTCGTCGCGGGGAACCTTGACGAAGCACTCGTTGAGCGAGAGGTTGTGGCGGATGCTGTTCTGCCAGCCCTGCTTGTTCTCGCGGTAGAAGGGGAAGCGGTCCATGATGAACTGGTAGATGCCGTTCAGCGTGATCTTCTTCTCGGGCGCGTTCTGGATGGCCATGGTGATGAGCGCGATGTAGCTGTAGGGCGGCTTCACCAGGTCCTTGGGCGCCGCGGGCTGGTGGTGGTGGTAGGGCGCGTAGGAGCGGCCCATGCCCGCGCCGTACTGCTCCGGGTGGCCCGAGTAGACGCCCATGGGGCTGCCCATGCCGCCGTAGCTGCCCGCCGCCCGGTAGTAATTCTGCTCGCTCAAGTAAGGCACCACTCCCAGGGCGTTGGGGTCGGACACGGAGTAGCGTGCCTGCATGCTGCGTCTGCGACGGCTCTCCACCGCCTGCGCTCACGGACCGCGGCCGGGGGAGCGAGGAGGCCCTGAGAGCGAGACAGCGAGAGCGAGAAAGAGAGGAAGGGAGCCGGCGGGGCAGCCCCGGGCCCCGGGAAGCTGGGGGCGAGGTGCGGCAGGCGCGGGCGCTCGGGCCGAGAAGGGCGCTCGCGTTCAGCGGACTGGGCGGATCTGCATGCTGGAGGGCGCGCCTCGGGCGAGCGCAGCTCCGGGCCCTGCTCACTTGCTTGCTCTCGGGACCCGGCGGGTGGCAGCTGGGGCGGGCAGTCGGTACTGAGCGGAGACGCCACGGGCCGGGTGAACCGAGGCTGGACCCTCCGTCCACGAGAGGAGGGGGGAAGGTGGTTCTGCAAGCCGCCCAGAAAATCGGCAGCTCTGAGGGTCCGCGAGCCGGGGTCCAGAGTGGCTGCCCTGCCGAGCCCGGAAAAAAAAGGCAAAGTCCCTTTTAGGGATTGGGAAAAGTTTCAAAAGTCGTCTTGCTGAAAGCGAGTTTTTACTTTCCTCAGGCCACGCCCTCTCCCGGAACTACGGACCAATCACCCGGCAGCTGCTGCGAGTTTACACCAATCAGGGAGAGGAGCGCCGGAATCCGTCGGCTCTAAGACCCAGCCTCAAGCACCAGGCTTTTCTGCAGCTCAGTCTCAACTTGGAAAGACTTTTTAAAAAAGAGTTATAGCTTACTAAGATTTATTTTATTATCACATTTTGGTTAATGGGCCCACATATCCAGAACAAAAACAAAGCGACGTTCCTTTACAAAAGAAAACACAAATTAGTTTGAAACATAAAATGGAATTGCTTAATATAGTCAAATATCTCCCCCAAAGATCTTGCAAGTAGCAAAAGTTCTAGGACAGTGTTCTTATAAATGAGTGATGAAGCGAATAATTAGATTTCCTAATTATCGGGCCCTGAGCGTAATGGATTCAAAGCAAACGTGCTGCATTGAAATGGCCAGGGCCTCCCTGAACGTTGTCCTTATTTAATCAAATAATCGTCACCAGTGACTTTCCAGATTCAGGGCCGTCAAGAATAAACTGTAAAGGTTTGAGAGGCAAAGGATAGACACTGAATTCTCCTCGCCCCCACCCCAAAAGGAGTTACAGGACAGGCGAAGCAGGAAGGTTAGCAACGTCCTGAGAATTTAATACTCTAAATTCGCCTCGAATTCGGTAAATCATCCGCGCCACCAAGAGCAGTTTGGTGGAGTGTGGGGAAGGGTGCGCAGGAACTCTGTCCCTTTCTCGCTTTCCTCTCCCACGCAGACTCTCGCTGCCCACCAGCTCCAGCTTCGTCCCCTCCTGCTAGGTATAAATTCCCTTTGACAAGCAGACCCCCGCACTCCCCAAAGACCGGAACAATGCAGCGACCCGCCGGGCCCAGGCAGAGCTGAGTTCCTCGGCCCGGGCGAGAGGAAACCCGAGCTTGTTTTTCGCCAGGGCTTTGCCCAAAGACGCGCGTAATTACGCGGCACACAGCGGGCTCGGAGCGTGGAAGCTTCCCCAGCCGGCGCCTGCGGCTGACACCGGCCCCAGGGCCCAGTCCCCTCCAAATCCCCGCTGGAGCTCTCCAAGTTGAGTTCCCACATTTTAGTCTTTTTCGTTCTGTTGGATTTGGATGAGTTGGAGACAGGGCTCGGTGAGGGGACTGCGTGAGCAATTGCAACGGTTAAAGACCCCTCCGGGATTCTATTATTCGAGAGAGACTGGCCTGGAGCGACTTGGAGGACCTTGCCCTTCAAAGCTTTCTCCTTCCCTCTAGGAATCCGGGACAGTCTGTTTATTTGTGGACTGATTATTTACTCTTTCAGCACCTCCAATAATCGGACCCCCCTTTGCCCACTTCCCCTGAAGGGGTGGGACAGGTCTTTACCCTGGCCAGAATTTTGGAAGTTGTTCATCCGGTCAGGTAGGGAGCTGGGACTTTAGATAGCACAGTTTGTATTTCAAGTCATCCGTCGTTCATTAGATTCCCAGCAAAAGGGTGTCCCAGACTCCACTGGCCACTGTCAGCTTTCAGGAGTAGAGAAGACAGCTTGTTCATGTCAAAAAAAAAAAAAAAAAAGAAGCAGCAGAAGGAGAAAGTACGTGCACTTTTTGTCTCCTGATAAATTCAAAATCGAAGGGAAAATACAAAACAGCTTCCTATTACCTTGAATACTCTCCTTCTAAAACACTGCATTTTTAATGAATTTTCTGAGTTCTGTCTCTAACTTGATCCTTCCTCCTTCCCCCTTTTGGGGAAACAAAGTAGTGCTTCCCAGTTCTCAGCTCACGGGTAAATAGTTTGAGCCATCCCCCCCAACCCTTGAACCCCCACCATGACCATTATTTTTACTGCCCCTAGTATGTTCCCATCCATCTTTTTAAAAGAGCAAGGAAAAGGAGGAGGAGGAGAAGGAAGGAAGGGAGGGAGGGAGGAAGGAGAGAAAGAGGAGAGGAAGACTTATAGGGAAAAAGTGCTTTCTCTTGGACTGTGACACCCATGCCGGGTCCTTCTCCCAATTTGCTGGAAGTGCAGGCTGCTGATCAGGAAACAGGAATATTATTTAAGCTGCTTTTACGGAGGTGTGTGTGTTTAAATAGCTTTGTCATAGCATAGGGCGAAACCCAAAATAGCTAAGAATTATGAAAATAAATTAGAAAATGACAGTTTCTGCTTGAGTTTGTGTTTACAAGGGTGTCCAGGTTTAGACCTCTGCCATCTGAAAAGAGCTAAATTGAGTTGGCAAATATATTTAACACCCCCCCTGCCAAACGCTGAAAATAGAGGCAGGAGGGAAGAAATCCTTAGACTCAAGTCAGGAAGGGTGAGAGAGACATTTTCCTCTGCCCCGGGAATTAGGGTTCTCCTCTGCCCAGCAGGAATCCGGGAGAGGTGTTTGTCCAGGTTATTAAAACAACACCTTCCACACACCTGGACTTTGGCAGGTCTTTTCTTTAACCTGCCAAGGTATTTTTGGACTGGGGGCTAGTGTTTTCCTGCTGTTGTCCCCCCTTTTTCTGAGCTTGCTGTCAGTGAGCTGATAGCGGAGTGGGGCCCCAGGGGGTCCTTGGTGTTAACAGAATACTCAGAGGTGGCAAAGGCGGGAGGCGGCCGAGGCTCCCCCGCGCCGCGGTCCCTGCCCGCGCTGCTCGCCTTCCACCTGGCGGTCCTCGGACTCCGTGGGCCCTGGCGCCATCTTGAGGCCGCCGGGGGAACTACTCCGTGGGGGGGGGAAAGGGATTGGTGACAAGGACGGTGCTGACACCTCGTGGACGCGCCTGGGCTCTGCGCCGCGGGAGTGAAGGGAGAGAGGTCAACGGCGGCGTTAAAGATTAAAAAGCAACATACTCCTTTGCAATGTGTCAAGAACATGGCCTGTTGGGAAACAAAAGCGTCTTTGAAATGGGTCGGGGAAGGGGGAGAGAATTTTCTCCTGGGAAATTCACCGAAGTTTTCAGCAAACAAAATCTGCGCTTCTCAGTTGGCTAGAAGTCAGGACTTTCTTAATTTATTTTTTATTTTCAGAGTTGTTGAACGCGTCGCCTGGTCCCTGTCTTCCGGCTGCAGCTGTCTTTCTGCCTGGGGTGTGGGGTGAGTTTGGGGAATTCATCAGAGGCTGTTTGTGCTGGGCGCGTGTCCGAGGGTGGCCTGGAACAGGGGGGAGACTTTCAACCTGGCCTATGGCCGCTCCTATTTTTAAGGCACAACAGAGCACCCAAAGAGGGGACAGGCAGGTTACACTAAGTCAGTGTCGCTTCTTAAAATTCCCCGGTGATCCAGCTTCCAGAAATTATCTCTTGAGGGAAGAAATCCGTGTCCTGATGGACACTGTTGAGGCCCATTTTAGTGGGCCTGACTTTTCCCGGGAGTTCGGGCAAGGTGCCACCGCTCACAGATGGCGGAGCCACGGAGGAAAAGAACAGGAGTGTGTGAGGACTGTTGTAGATTAAAAGGGATTAAAGAAACGCAACAACTAAATGTAATACCTGATCCTAGATGGAAGACATTTTAAAAACTAATAAAGGACAGGTTTGAGGATACTTGGGGGAAATTTGAATCTGGGGTGTGTGTTAGATAATAATCTTGTATCAAGGGTGAGATTCTTGAGTGTTATAATTCTGTGTGGTCGAGTAAGAACACGTCCTTGTTTTTAGAAGGCATGTGTCAAATGTGTAGGGCTAATATTCATCATCTCTGCAACCTTTAAAAGATCCAGCCCAAAGCAGGGGGTAGGTGGGGGGTGGACAGAGGGGAGAGGAAGAGAGGGAGGAAGTGTAAATATAATAAAAATGAGGTTATAGAACCAAAGGATGTTTGTTGTATGTTCTTGCACATTTTCTGTAAGTTTGAATTTTTTCAAAATTAAAAAAAAAATGGGAGACAAATACCTTTGCTACTCTGAAAATTAAAAAAAGAGATGTGACAGAAGTGGAAGTCTTTCCATGAAAGGGACTGCAAAACACTTAGTGGGGACCCACCTTGGCCCAGTATCCCCTCTCTTTTTTTTTCTGGAAGTTTCTGAAAAACCATGACCAATATCTATGGAGCTAATTACAATAACTTGTAGTTACCCTCCCCCCCCCCCAAAAATCCTTAGTGATTCTTTAAGGAGTTTATCCATCTTATAATTCAGGCATTGGCATAGTTAACACAACCAGAGATGCAAGAAATTCCATAGAGCACTGTGCATATTTTCAAAACATAACATTACAGATGTACACATGCTGCTCCATCCAGAGAGTTATCGACCTCTGAGAGTTACAGCCCATCCTGCATAGCTGTCCTAATCTTTGTCACCACGATGCCTCACCTGTGTATCAGTTAGTTGAACCTGGCTTATGCTTGGTAACAAATATGTCACATCTCAGTAACTTCCTCCTGAGCTAAGCTGA